CTCCTTTCTTAACCTAAGATTAGCTTATCTTCCCCATGCCCTGTTCTTTGGCGGGGAAATGGCATGACTCAGCCATATTGAAGAGTGACTGCTCTGTCATTGATAGGTACTTGCCTCCCACAAATTATCATACCGGTCCTATTGGCATGTGATGACATGCTATTCTTGCAAAGTCCCATGGGCCAGCAGAACTATTAATCATTACTACATCCTGAGTTTGCTCTCCTCCTAGCTCCCAGCAGAGGCTGTTACACAAACATAGACTTGCCAGATAGGGTGGGGTTTCTTATCATGAAGGACAAAATAGAAATGTAGAGCTAGTGTAGTACAGTTCTGTAAATAGCTCCCCTCCAGTCTTTGCCCACTCTGAGGCTGAGGGGGCGATGGAGTGAGCTGTACGTAAGCTGCAGAATTAGAAAGCCCTAGTGAAGGCTTGAAATTTTATTGAGCAGTAATTCCTAAAAGATGATGATGATCTGAAGTCTGGGTTTAGGAGCTGAATGACTCGTGTGTAAACCTCAAATTCACACTTCTTGGGACGGAATTCAAATACTGGTCTGTAACACACCATACGCTTGTAGAGGAAAAAGGTCTAGGTCTGTTTTCCCCATTATAGCTGATTCATTGCTGGGGATTTCACTGTCCAAATAATACTCAGTTTTACGGTGTTTCCTTAATAGCTGCTTCCTACTCCCGCCCGCTGAGCACACCTAAGTTGGACAGGCTGAAGGTTGCCTGGCTCAACAAGGTTTATTGTGTTTGTACAGGGAATCAGAACAAGTGAAGGACTGTGGAAGGAACCTATGACTGCTTTAGCTAGAACCAGGATATCCTGGAGCTACCTTACTCTGGTGGCAGTTGTATAAACCATTGAAGCCAGTCAGCTTGTATGTTACAGCAGTAATGTTTCCAGACCTTGCCATGAACTAATTGATCCATAGCTAAACATTTTGTGTACCTGAAATAAGTGTGCTGTGGAGGAACATCTACTGTTGGGTCTCTCAACCTCCGTGTCCTCCTAATCCTGAGGTTTGGTAGCAGTAGTAGGTAAGCACTTGCAGACAGCCTTGTAACTTCGAAGTCTGACACTAGCTCTCTAGTGTACAACAACTAGCCAAGCACAAACAGCCAGGTTTTGTAAGCATGTTCTTGATGGCTTCTGCATCAGCATCCTGGGGCTTTTAAGCAACTGCTACTTTCAGATCCTGGCTGACGAGGCTTTTCTACACGTGTTCTCGCTGAGGACGTGACAGAAGGAAGGCATGAGTGTCCTCCATTTCGTTCATGCAGTCAGTGGGGTTTGAAATCTGTCCAGTACAGAGACTTAGAGAGGCTTCCAACTTCACTGTGATCACAAGCCCCTCAGCAATGGGGAACCGTAAACTCCAATTCAGGTATTCTCCAACCCTGCAGACTTGCTTTTATGTGACTTAGAGGAAGTGACTGTGGGGAAACTAAGCAAAATAGAATTCACAGCACACACAAGAAGGCTTGGCTAGTGACTTATAAACATTGTGTTCGCACCAACCACTAGAGTGAAGGACAGGTGAGACTTGGCAATCCAGGAGCCTTTAAATGCACATATGCGGTTAGTCTCATAAACAGTGCTTTAACGAGTCCTAGTAATTGCTATTTAAAGGCACCATGCTCACATGTGGTGCTTTTGCAATCAATAAAGTCAGTCCCTGCCCTGAGATTATAACTGAGACATGACCCAAAGAGGCTGAGAAATGAGAAGGGAATATGGGAGTTTAAGGCTTCCAGCAAGGACTGATTGTGATGGTGTGTGCAGTCGGTGGGTTCCTTCTGTTTTTTAATGCATTAACATTGATGGGTGGTGTCGGATGAAGGGCAGGCAGAGGGGAGGGAAGCCTGCTATGTGCAACATTTACTGAAATTGCCAAAAATTCAATTAAAGATCACCTGACTCTTCAGCTCTGTGCCAGGGATCTCTGAGGCTTATAGTGGGCTCTGGAACTACTTGTTAAAGTGCTATGAAATGAAGACCCCAAGATTCTGGTGCCCCTTGGAGAGGATTATGGGTACATTTTCCTAACCTCAGCTAATGTGCAATGCCTGCAGCAGGACTGCTAAAGGTTTGTGGCCATGTGTATGCTACAGCCTGCAGATTAAAATGTGCCAGGAAAGTGGCCAGGTTTTAAGTGACTTAAAGCCATGTGGGGAGGAGGGGGAAGAAGGGACATAATTTCTCAACAGAGCAACTTTCTCCTGCTGTATTTTATCTTGTGTAATCAAACCTACCAGAAGGCAGACTGCTGTGGGATTCATTGTCCTGAACTTGGAGTCACTGGTCAAACGTTGTGCTGTGGCCAGATCCCGTTGGCCCTCGTTTCTGAGTTTGCAAACGAGTGTGTGTTTTGCGTGGGTGTGGTGTTGAACTAAAGTGGCATGTGCAGGGCCATGGGAGTAATCCTGAAGGTCAAGTCATAAAAAAATGTGGTCCTCTGAGCCACCGCTGAACTTTGCTTCTGCTCTCCAGCTCCTTAGATTAGCACAGGTCAGGCTGGAGACTTTGGAAACTATCTCTGTTCCATGCTCAGTTACTCTTCCTTTTTTTAACTCCCCTGCACACAACATAGTTATTCTTAACCTCAGCTGGGTGGCTGGTGGGCAGTGGAATTGTCAAATTGTCACATGGGGCATGCTGTAGCTCAGTGCTGGACCGGGAGCACTGGGGAGTTGGTGTACTGTTACTGGAGATGGGATCCCGTGGCGGCTCTTGGGTTTAAAAAGGGAAATGACGTAATAGCCCCTTTCGAAATTCTTATGTTTGAGATGTGCATGCTTGCTGTGTTTCATAAAGTAATTATATAGAGTCTGACGGTCTCTGTACTGGACAGATTTCAAACCCCATGAATGGACACTCATGCCTTCCTTCTGTCCCTTCCTCAGCGAGAACACATGCATAAAAGCCTTGTCAGCCAGGATCTGAAAGTAGCAGTTGCTTAAAAGGCCCAGGATGCTGATGCAGAAGCCAAAAGGGCTATTATCTTCATCTTCTAGGTGTCTTGCAAATGGATTGCTTGAATATTTGCTCCTTTATCTCTCTGGCTGCTGAAGTTAAGCTGAGGATGTGATGTGGTCCCCATCCCTTTACCCAAGATTGAGAGGCTAATTCAGCCTCAAAGCCTCTTTCACCTCCTGAAGTCCTTTCCCCGAAGGGAATAAGCTCTTGTGCAGTGTGCGGGTCTGTAGCTAATGCCTAGCAGCTGGAATTAGAAGTTGGATTTCTCCCTTTACCCCCACCCTCCCCCAGGTGTGATCGCTGACTAATGGACCAAAACATTCCTCTGCCTGCTTGGTGTTGCTGCCAGCAGCACGCCAATGAGCAGTCGGGTGTCTGATCAGAAGGAAGTGACTTGCATCATCTGTTTAATCACCTCTTTAGCTTATTCTGTGCCATCTGGCCCCTGCAGAGCAAAAGGGACAGTTTGTTCTTCAGGGGAAGAGGACATTTTCATTATGGCATCCTTAGGGGCATAGGATACAGCTTCTTAGGCTAAATATATTGGCCCAGCAAGCTTGGGGCTAAAGGGATTTCTCTTTCCAGTGACTTTAGATTTTGCTAAGGAGGCTGGACCGAAGGGTTTTCCTCCTTGCAGACAGAATACATTGGTGGTATTCATAATACTAGTAGGCTAGACCAGGGCTCGATTCCCACAGCCGTCCACCTGTTGTGTAGTTTGGCAGGGGATGGGAATAAGAGCACAGTGGCATGTGTGCACAGATCTCGGGAGCAGGGGGTTGGGTTCTGCTGCTTGTGCTTATCCCCTTATCACAGCGGGTCAGCTGGTGGGATTCTCGCCCGAGCTGGAGGCTGAGACACTTAAGGAGATGAGCACTCAACGAGTCTCTTCTCAGGGCCAAGGCTAGCCAGAACCTGCTCTCTCCTGGGTCAGTTGGGTACTGAGGAGCTATTAACCCGCATGAAGTGCTTTGAGTGCCGCCGCTGCCCCCCCCCCCCTTGCTGCTAGTGCTGCTGCTGGCTGCAGGGCCTGGCAGTGGGGGGTCAGCTCTCCTGCTGCTGACACAGCCAGGGAAACATGAGAGGGGAGAGGGGGGACTGCTGAGACAGCTCTGCAGCAACTTCTCAGACCACAACTAAGGGCTTCCAGTTCCTCTAGCAAGAGCGAGGAGCACTGGTTCATTTTCCTGTTTGCACTCCACTGTGGTGCAAAGGGGAGGTGCCCCCCCCCATCCTCCCTAAATGGTGCCCCTGCTCAGCTGCCACTCCTGACATGAAACTGACACAGCAAGGAATGGAGTTCTCAGAAGCAGCCCTTAAATCTCGGATGTTGGTTTCCCCCCACCTACCCCTCCCAGCCCCTACACTCCCTGCCCACCTGCAGTGCCGGGTAGGGCCTGGCTTCCATGTTATTGTTTGGGTCTGTCCGTGTTTTCATTAACAGGGATTTCATAGGGCCCTAATTATCCCAAAACCGATTATACCAGCTCCACAGAATGAAAGTACATTCTGTCTTAGTTTCTGACACTCGTTGCTTTGTTCTTTGTGCTCTGCTGTGTGGTGTCATCTGACACCCCTAGTCACAGATGTCTTTTAAATGCTGAGCGAAGGAGTACTTGGGCTCTCTGCAAACCTCGGAATCCTTTGTGTAAAGGGCTGTGTGATTGTGTAGCTAACACAATTAAAATTCCATAGCATGCAGTGAGTTAGTTTTGCAAAAAGTGATGTGTTTGAGACCTACTCTAGTCTGCCACTCAGTTTTGGTTGAGCATTTGTCTCAGACTCCAGTGAATGGCAGGTGAAGCACTGGATACACTTTTCATGTATTGGTGTCTCAGACTCATAACTTCCTGCTATGAACAGATGGTTAACAACTGGCCAAGCTTTGTTTTACTCCACATGGCATTTGCTCGTGGAAGCAGACTGCTGTGAGTTGTTTCTGAGACTGAAGGTAGATGAACGCTGACCTTTTCTTCTGCTGCTGTCAGTCGCTCTTAAAAAACAAACTGCCAAACCCTTCAGCAAAGATCTGTATAATTCTCCAATGTCTGTTTGCCCAGAGTGAGAAGCGCCGCACGGTTCACTTGTTTGTGTTTAGTTTCAGGCTTGGGTTCTCATGCACTAGCACAGTGCTGCAGTAGTTCTGTTAACACTGCAGCAGAATGAACTCGTTACATTTCCATTTGCTTAAACAAAAGACTCCTGGAAATATTTCCATATTGGTCTCATCTTGTGAAAGCTTTTATTGACCATATAAAGTTTGGGTCCTCTTTGATCTGATAATGTCTCTTCTAAAAAAATGCCTTCAGGGCACTTAACTTCTTCCCCTCATCTTATCCTGCTGTAAGAGTTCACCTCGGTGTTGAGGATTAATTAGCATGGTGTCTGTGCTCTTGGCTCCATAACGGCTAGACTAGCTAATGTTTTGTTATTTACAAAGTAGAGTTAAGTCAGTGTTTCCCTACACAAGAGGCGGCCCCAGTTTGGGAAACACCGAGTTAAGTTGCTACACTCAGGTCTGGTCTATACTACCCGCCTGAATCGGCGGGTAGAAATCGACCTCTCCGGGATCGATTTATCCGGTCCCGTCGGGACGCGACAATCGATCCCCGAATCGGCGCTCTAACTCCACCAGCAGAGGTGGTAGTAAGCGCCGCCGACAAAAAGCGGCAGAAGTCGATTTTGCCGCCGTCCTCACAACGGGGTAAGTCGGCTGCAATACGCTATTCACGTAGCTGAATTTGCATATCTTAAATCGACTCCCCGCTGTAGTGTAGATGTACCCTCAGTGCCCTGGCTGCAAGGGTGTGGTTTGGTCTGTCAGGCCGACTTTGAAGCCTGTTTCATGAACTTGTTTGGCTGTTTTGTAACATGCTGGTTACTGTTGAAACCTGTCGAGCACCCAGAGCTGTAATACAGCTGTGTGACAGAGCTGTAACAGTGAGGCGTGACCCTGAAATGCCGGACGGGCTGTGGTGGAACAGTTGCAGTGTCCAGGATGGAGAGATGAGCTGACTCAGTGAAGTGTGGCCATAGGAACTTCCAAATATCCCGCCACAGAAGGGACAGAGGTGCTCATTGGCACTAGGCAGCCTTTCAGACTCTTATCCGAGTGCCTGCGGCTGCCATTGCAAGGCAGGCCGACGGTTACAGAGCAAAGAAAGTGGAACTGCTTCTAGATCATCTTAAGATTTTAAAACAAACTCAAGCCCATGCCCTCCTTCACTCTTCCAAATACTCAGGGAGGTTTGGGTGACCTAGCTCTTAGCTAGTGAGCGGTCCCCAAATACTGCTGGGTATCTAAGGAAGCAGCCGTTCAGTGAGGTAGTGCAATTCTTTGGGCTGGGAGGCTAGCATCTAGCGATGACGGGTACTGTGCCGCAGGGGGCTAATACTGTCACAGCTGATGCTCCCAATCAGAACAAAAGTCGGGCTGCTGTTGCTGTAACTGCTCACCAGTGACTGAAGTGAGGGGTGATCGTGGCTTGGAGAAGGGGGAGGAGTGGTGATGGATAAATGGCAGCCTCAGATCAAGGGTACAGGGGAGAACCACACGGCACTTCGGTAGCACTGGAGGCAGGGGGACAATTCTGCACCCAGCAGCGGACCGGGTGCGGGTGACAGTTCTGAAAGCTGCATCAGCATTGTTGTCACTACCCACAACCACTTTGAAAGCTGTTCTCCTGACCTGATACAGAAGTAGGGAGCAAGGTGGACCTGCGTTCAGCCCTGCAAGCCTCCTCCACAGGTACCTCATAGCTCCGTGAGATGCTGTTGGTTTGCAAGAGGGCTTCAGGGTGGGAGGTACTTCCTGAGTCTGGCATTTCACCAGCATTCTTCTTTGTGACCAATCTTCTCTCGTTCCCCAGGGGGGATGCAGGATTACAACTACGTTTGGGCCGACTGCTTTGAGATCACTTTGGAGCTGTCCTGCTGCAAGTACCCAATGGCGTCCCAGCTTCAGCAGGAATGGGAGTATAACCGGGAATCTCTCCTCACCTTCATTGAGAAGGTAAAACGTGCTCTGTCTTCTCAGGAGGTGGAACGGGCTTGCGCACCAGAGGTACAAGGCCTAGGGGCACCTGACTGGCAGATCAAACCCCAGAGTACAGGGTGTGGAGTGTTCGTGGCCCTATGGCTAATAGCTTAGGTTGCCCTGTGGTCATGTGACAGCTATGAATTAACAGAAGTCACCAGCTATAAGGAAGCTTTGCTTCTCTGTGGTCCTGCTGCAGTGCTGTATCGCTGCTATACGCGGCAGGGCCTGTTTAGACAGGGTTGCAAATGTTGACAGGTTTTGGTCCCTCTCCATGGGGAAAGTAGACCTGCCATGGGGCGCCCAAGGGATTTCCGAGCGGTAGTGTCTGTTTCTTTTATCCTGGGATTTGTCTCCTAGTGGAATGGTCCAATCAAACTTCCCTCTGAATTACAGGCTGGGTGGGCACTTCTGCCCAGCTAACTCTGTTCTAAACTTACCAGCATTGGTGGCGATGGGGCAAGGATCCATCTGTACCTGGAGTGATTTGTCTTGATCAGTTCCTGTTTGATTTGTTTCCCCAGGTCCACATGGGAGTAAAAGGGTTTGTCAGGGACTCGGTCACTGGGTCTGGCCTGGCAAACGCGACCATTGCTGTTGCTGGCATCGATCATAACATCACGGCGGGCAGACTTGGGGATTACCACAGACTGCTCGTGCCTGGAACTTATAACATCACAGCAGCTGTCGTAGGGTAACGTCTCTGAAGCAGACCGGGTCCTGTACGGCTACGCTTGCTCATTTTCACAGTCTGTTCATGCTTATGGGGTTTGGCTAGAAGCTGCTACTGTTGATTCTTTCCTGTGATGGTGCCAGGCTGCAGCTCCATGTGCTGACTTGTCCTGCATTCCACACTGAGCACTCTTGCCCCTGGAGCGCCACCGTTTGGGGTGGCGCAGTGTGGGTGAAGGAGGCAGCGGTAAAGCCTATAAAGGTAGCGTCACCAGATGGGTTAAAGTCCCTTCCCGTAGCTTTCTGCCAAGGCAGTCCTAGAGGGGCCGTTGTTGAGAAGAGTGCTGTAGACAGGAGCTCAGCCTCTCGTGACTCTCTGGCAGGGTTGTCGTCCTTGCGGGTAACGCCGTGTGACCTGACGGCGTGCAGGCTGGTGAATCTCTGGTGTAGATTAAAGTACCAGCCCTGTTCTATGTGGTGATGGGAGGTAGTGCTGGGAAAAGAGACAGCTCTAGTATAACACCCTGGGCTTGGCTTATAGCTTCCTGTTTCGCTGATTGAATCTCCTGTTGAAAGCAGACTCGTGTCTTTCTCAGTTATGTGCCAATGACTGTAGAGAACATTGAGGTGAAAGAAGGGGCTGCAACAGGGGTGGACTTCTCCCTGCAACCTACTGTCCTGGTACCTGTTCCTGACCCTACGCCAGCCCCCGCCACTGCTGCCCCAGGCTCCGCTACCAATGCCACTGCCACAGCGAAGGCCGCAAGCCCAACTTCTCTCCACCAGCCGCTCCAGCCTGAGGACTTTCGCCACCACCACTTCCCTGACATGGAGATCTTCCTGAGGAGGTACGCCAGCGAGTACACCAACATCACACGCCTCTACTCGGTGGGCAAGTCAGTGGAACAAAGGGAGCTGTATGTGATGGAGATATCGGATAACCCAGGCGTCCATGAACCAGGTAACTGGCCAGCCCCATGAAATCCTTCCGTAACGTCTTGCCTGGGCACCTCCGGAGCAGAGTGAGCCAGGGCCTCTGCCAGATGGCTTCTCAGATGCCTTGGAGTGCAGCTGTGGGAGCTGTATGTGCAAACTGGAGGGGGTTGGGGGATGCTGGTGATTCAGTCGTGCCCAGATAGCTGGATTGTGAGCCCCGCCAGGCAGGGACACGGTCACCTTGTTTGGAAATAACTTTGCACTGATGCCCACAATGTGCTATTTCAAGAGAAACAGAGGCATGTGTAGGGAACACTTGGTTAAATGAGGAGGCCCTTCCTAGTGGTTCTTCTGCAGCCCCTTGCACTGCTGTGGGAGGCCTCATGGCTGTCGTGTCTAGGCTTATTGATATTTCGAAAGCTTTGCAAGCAGAACTGTTTCTGCCTGCGCTCTTGGATACGGATGCTGACTGGTGCCCTAGAGCCGTGGTGTGGGTGGCCCTCCCGCTCACGTTCCACACCGTGGCTGCTATAACGCAAGCCAGACGCTGCAGACAAGGTAGCCAGACTCAGATGCGCTGCACAGTGCTGCTGGATGGGCTGCACACTCAACCTGCAGTATGAAACAAACCTATTGTGCAGAGCTCAGTTCCCTGGTCTGCCCAGGTGGATTGCCTGAGCTTCCCAGGGAAATGGGGAGTGGTCCCCTGTGGGGGCCTTCCTTGGACACTGCCCACTGCATTAGCCCCTCTTGGTGATGCAGAACTGCTGCCTTCATCATCTGAGTCACTCAAAGAGATTCCAGGGGGATCTCAGTCTCTTTGAGCTGTGCAAGGAACTCGCCCCTACATGGAGTTGTCCTGTCTCCGTGGCCAGCTGATGCCATCTCACTGCAGGAGGTAAACTGGGAGGGAGGTGACAAGGACTGCAAGGGGTTTCAGAGGCCTATCACAAGTGGGCTTGAGGTGCTAGTGTTCACGCTGGCTTTACGTCAAAACATTGCTGCTGGTACAATGAGCCTGCATTGGTTCTGTTGCTGAAATGTCTGTTCTGCCCAGGTGAACCAGAGTTCAAGTACATTGGGAATATGCATGGGAATGAAGTAATAGGCCGAGAACTGCTTCTGAATCTCATCGACTATCTCTGCAAGAACTTTGGAACGGATCCTGAAGTAACAGAGTTGGTGCTTAACACCCGAATCCACATCATGCCCTCCATGAACCCTGATGGCTATGAAAAATCCCAAGAAGGTAGCTCTGCCTGTTACTAAACAGCCTTCGTGCCTGTAGGTTCAAGAGTGGGCATTGGGGAGTGTCTCAGTCATGGTGAAAGGGCCAGGAGCCTGATTTGTATTGCACAAAACTCTTCCTGTCCAGGAAGAGCAGAGAACGGGCTTGCTATATCTTTGTGGTAGGGTGGATCCACTTGTTCTTGATGTGCAAAGTGCTGTGCTTGAGTTCTAAATGGCTGAGGTGCCCTTTACGCTTCAGCAACAGCTGCAAATTGTCCCGGCCTTAGTCGTCGTCCTTCTGTTCTTGTAGCTTTCCCAAGGCAAATCTTTAAACAAAGAAACCCAGCATTGTCTAGACACAACTCAAACTTGCAGCATTCTGGTGCTGCCCGCTTTGTAACATCCATGCTAGGAGCTGGGCACTCTGAAAAGTGCTTTTCCAAGGACCATAAAATACAGAACTTATCATGAGGTTAGAATGGGTAAAGCAGCTGTGTGTGAGCTCTCTGAAGGGCAAAGCCAGTTCCTCAAATAGAGTCATAGACTTTAAGGTCAGAAGGGACCGGTCTGATCATCTAGTCTGACCTCCTGCACAACGCAGGCCACAGAATCTCACCCACCCACTCCTGTAACAAACCCCTAGCCTATGTCTGAGCTATTGAAGTCCTCAAATCATCCTTTAAAGACTTCAAGGTACAGAGAATCCTCCAGCAAGTGACCCGGGCCCCACACTACAGAGGAAGGCAAAAAAATAGTAGTAGCTCTTTACTTGGTTAAACGCAGATCGGGTGTAATGAAGCTAGTTTGGATATGTAAGCACTGGGTTTTTTCTCTCATGCTATCAGTCCATCAAGATTGTTCCCCAATTTAAACGGCACTTGTCATCCCTCTCAGTGTACTGCCTAATAAAATCAGAAACCTAGTCAGAGCAGAGGACAAAGTCTTATAATGGTGACCACTCCAGCTAACAGCCGTCTCCCAGAGAGATGCATGCAGGAAGTGGGCTCCCTACTTAGGGGAATAGATTGTGGGGTACAGGACGCTGCGGGAAGCCAGCCCATTAGTATATCTCCTAAACTCCCTGGGACTGTGGAACAGTGGGCTGGTGGAGAACGGAGGGTTCTGGGTAAGGAGCAGATGTATTGCTGTCTGTTGAAAGCAACCCCTTTTTTCCCTTGCTTTGAGGCAAACTGGTAATGGGTTTGTGCTGCTGTGACTGTGGGGGGATGCAGGCTGAATGTATCGTTTGTTGCTCAGGAGACAGAAGCAGCACAGTTGGCAGAAACAATAGTAACAACTATGACCTGAACCGGAACTTCCCAGACCAGTTCCTCCCAATGACCGACCCACTGCAGCCAGAGACTCTTGCTGTCATGAACTGGCTCCGGGCCTTTCCGTTCGTACTCTCTGCAAACTTGCATGGAGGTATGTAGACAAAACCAGCCTGCTGTAAAACTCCCCTTGTGGGAGAAGGGGGTCATTGCCCCACTGTGGAGGCTGAGTAACACTGGGGTGCTTCTGCTCTGTGTCTAGGAGCAGCAGCAGAAGTTTCTCTGTCTGGCCTGGCCTAAGGAATTGGCTTCCTTTTGCTCTAAAGAGCCTGGCAGATGGCCATAGTGCATTAAGGAGGGGCCACTGGCAGAAGGTAACTGCCACTCACCCCTGAGGGGGGGCAGTTTATCTGGTCATCTTGAGGGGAAACTGCTACGTTCTTTCAGAATCTGAAAGATGAGGCACCCAGACCTTCTAGTCCGAGCGCGGTAAGAGCACCGATAAATGAGCCATGTTAAAGTCTCCATGGAATTAACTTCTGAGTGGTTCAGGGTTCGTCATCTTAAGGGCATCTGCGGTGCCAGGCACTCAGGTGGGCTGGATGTCTGGTTATGTATAAAATGAAAGGACCTAGCTGGAACTACTTGGCATCATCGCTGAGCTGCTAGGTTCCCGATAATTGAATCAGTTGCCTCCTGGAGTGATCTAAGTTAATAGCCACTGCATGCTAACTTGTTCCTCAGACTGCTTGTCTGCTGTGGCTGTAGCTGCTGGCAGATGGTGGTTGCTCAAGTACTAATACACTGAGTTCTTTAGTGCATTGATAAGTTGATCCAGACCTGGCTACAGTGCTGGGGTTTTTGTCCACCAGCACTGACGTCCAGTGTCTCATAGTGCTGTTAATGTAACTTTGTAAGAATCTCTTTAGTTTATCCAAGACTTGACTTATGCACAAATGTTTGTAACAAGAAGCCTTCCTAAGGGGTAAAGGGATGCAGTATTCAGAACTGCGGCTGGCCAAGGCTACCACTGACCCAAATCCCTCTCCTTCTGTAAGCGTCTTTGACTCTTGCTTTCCCATCTCATTTGAAAATTGCCCCCATGATCTGTGCCTAGCTTTCTTATGTGCAAGGGCAAAATGCTTAGTTGCAGCACTCCAGTTTCAGAATTGCTCTGACTTTCTTGGGTTAAGAACATTCCACTAGGATGGACTGGTAACTGTTACTACATGTTCACTGTCTCCTTTATCTACCTGGCTTAGTACTGTGGCTAATTCCATGCCTTGGCAAATACAGACTTGTTCTCTGGCGTTTTTTGGAAAAGCTTCCTCTATGCTAAGATTTAAAGATCCATTATAAAAGCATACTAAGTAGAATCTTGTTTCCCCTGCAGGTTCTTTAGTGGTTAATTACCCCTTTGATGATGATGAGAAAGGAATAGCCATCTACAGTAAATCACCAGATGATGGTGTGTTTCAGCAGCTTGCACTTT